CTGTAGTTCTAGCTACTTGGAAGGCTGAGGTGGAAGGATCACCTGAGCCCAGCAGGTTGATGTTGGGGTGGCTGTGAGCATGCCACCGCACTCCAGCCTGGGCAACAGTGTGAGACTCCAACTCAAAATAATAATAATAATATTCCAGGCAAGGGCAGGAGGTGGCCAACCAGGGCCTGGCAACCTTGGGGTGGAAGACGGTACCTCTCCAGAGTCCATATGTCAGTAGGAGAAAGCCTCGGGAGAGGGCAGGATGAACAGAGCATCTGCTCTCCCCCCTCTCAGGGATTAACCAGGCTCTCGTCTTCAGGGCCATGAGGTGACCTCCAAGTGGGAGTCTCGCCTCCCTGTGTGGCCTCTACCTACAGGTCTCCCTGGGGCTGGAGCGGCCCTATCTGTCCTTGATGTGAGCCAGTGAGGGCTGTCCCCTCCTGGGGTGCAAAGGCTGGGCAAGGGGGTAGGGCCCACAGCCACCCCTGGACCCAAGCTGGGACTATCCTGTGGCGCTCACCCTGCACCCCATGTCAGGACCTTAGTCCCCTGGGAAGGGGACCAAGCCACCCCCACCTCCAGCTTTTGGTCCTCTGTCCAGGCACTGGACTCAGGCCTCGGGTCTGTAGGGTGCCATGAGTTAGGAAGGGACCCACTGTGTGAATGGGCAGAGAACTGGAAAGGGCCCACCATCTAGACTGGCAGAGGCTGGGGAAGGGCCCACCATCTGGACCAGCAGAGGCATGGGCCTAGCACGAGCCTTGGAAAGAGCATATCAGGGACCCAGGGCTTTAACGGAGCAAGGAGCAGGGAAAGCCGCTCAGGCGCAGCCTAGAAGGGCTCGTAGCTGTGCACATGCCCACTCACACAACAAGCACACAACCACCACCTAGGAATGCGCTGATGCTCCGGTGTCCTGAGAGTTATTTATTCAACCACGTAAAATGCATATATAGGAAACTTCTCTATTTAGGAGCTGGTGGCCTGCACTCAGCATTGCACAGATAAAAATATACGACTTTTCACACAGATCTAAATACCTTCACATTTTAAAAACCTGAATTCTCTACACAAGTTTTAAGCTGACAGGATTTGGGTTCTGAGTCTTCAGACAGCTCCAACTTGTATTGAACATGTTTATTTACAACATGGATAGAGTCAGGGCTGTAAGGCCATGTTCTCATTGTGAAACACTGGAGTATGTACACACGTACAACCTAATATAGGCAAAGGTTCTGAAATCATCCTTGGCTTCACGTAATTGAGTGTTGGTTGGGGGTGGAGGTGGCCGCCAATAGCACCAAGCCACGCCAGAAGGGGCGCGCATCTGTTCTTCTGCCAAGCCACTAGGGGCTGCTGCCAAGCTGGGCCCTGCGCTGACCCAGGTGTGCCCACACCCCAGGCCAGGCTCTCAATTCCGCTTTCAAATCCATCTCAAGGTCCAATCAAAAACCATGTCCAAAAAGAATCATGCCACAAAGCCACTCATGCCGAGGCGTGCACGATGGGGTGGAAGGGCGGCCAGTAGATGCCCTCAGGGAAGAGCCCAAGGCCAGTCAGTCACTGGACCCCGCCTCACCTCCGGTGTCGGCTGTGCCCAGGGTGGTCCCGCTCATAGCGATGGCCAGTGCGCTCGTATGACCGTGAGCGCTCCCGTCGCTGATCTCTGTAGTAATGACTTTTCTTCTTATATTTTCCAGAATTATCTGCCCGCTCCCGTGACCTGCTTCGAGAACGGGACGAGCTCCGGCTGCGAGACTTGTGTGGCTTCTGGGTGGGGTACTTGCAGTCCTTGGACTTCCGGGAGCCCCTCCCCTCGGAGCCCTTGTAGGGGGCGCTGCGGTGTGCCTGTCTTGGGGGAGAGTCACTCCGGCTCCGGGAGCGGCTCTGTGACTTGGACCCACCAGATGTGGAGCCACTGTCGCTTTTCCTGTGAGAGAGGACAGGACCAAACACGAATGACCATCTGTCCCAACCAGGCCCAACATGCACAGGTTCTCACGGCAGCACAAGCTCCAGGTTTAGGGAAACAAGAAACCACCCCAGGTAAGAAGAGCTATCACTTTGGGAGGCAGAGGCGAGAGGATTGCCTGACCTCAGGGGTTCAACACCAGCCTGGGCAACTTGGCGAGACCTCGTCTCTACAATAAATCAAAAAATTAGCCAGGCATGGTGGCACGTGCCTGTAATTCCAGCTACTTGGAAGGCTGAGGTGAAAGGATCACCTGAGTTCAGCAGGTCAGGGCTACGGTGGCTGTGAGCATGCCACTACACTCCAGCCTGGGTGACAGACTCCAACTCAAAAAAAAAAAGAGAGTTGTCCTATCACCTCAGAACACACCCACCCCGCCAGGAGCCCTGAGGCCACACCTCCTCTTGGGAGAAGCAGATCGCGATGCGGACCTCGAGTAGCTCTGCCCCCGGCTCCGGCTCCGGCTCTCTCGCCCCTTTGGCAAGCTGTGAAGAGGAGGAGCTAGTTGTGCACCTGGGCCACCCCAGCCAACCACCCCCACCCCTGACCACCCCACCAATCCTGACGCCCTGGGCATCTTACCCATTTACCGGGCTGTCGGCTTTGGTCTTCTTGGTGCCATCCATCCTCCTCTTGGGGTTCTTCACAGAGAGCGGGGAGGGCTTGCATCCCTTTCCTTCTTTGGGGGACTCCACTAGAATCAAGTACAAGAAGTTCAAAGGCAACAATCGGAAAGCTCTTCTGGTAAAAAAACAAAACAGAGCAGGATGAAGGCCACGGCCATGGGTCTGGCGGGACAAAGGTCTGGCAGGACCCATCAACCACACTTTCTGCTCCCAGTGTAGGAGCCAAAACAAACACACGTCAAAGACACAGAAGGCCCCAGGACCAGGCGATGGGCAGCCTGCCAAATGCTAGGGTCTGACAACACAAGCCACAGCCCCAGAGCCTAACATCTTCATTAGATCACAAGTAAGTGGCAAGAGGGTCACAAAAGCATTCCAGAAAGCTGGGCCACATTCCTTGCTAATGAAGGCACAAAGACCAAGTGCTTCAGGGCCCATCTCATCTCAAAAATCACCACTGGGCAAGCCAGTGCTGCCAGCGCTCACACAAGCTGCTGGACCAATTCCCAAAGGAACGTGGAAGGAGCACATGCTGCAAAGCCAAGGTTTGGGAGAGTCCAGCTTCACGCTTGGAAGCAGACACCCGCCTACATACCCAGCTTGGGTGCAGGCGAGAAGCCTGCTGTGCTGTCAAGAGCCTGGGCGCCTCCAGGCAGCAGGCCACGGGCCTGTGCCTTGGCCTCCTCAATGGCCTGCTTCCTCTTCTCCACCTCACTCTCCAGGCGAGTCAGGTCCACCTGCAAGGGCCAGACCCTGCTCAGTGCCAGACACCTCAAAGGCCAGACCCCCGCCCTCCAGAGCCAGACAGCTCAAAAGTCAGACCCCGCCCCCTCACCCAGAGCCAGACGCCTCAAAGGCAAACCCTCCCAACCAGAGCCATAACGTCTTTGGCCAAACATAAACATGGACATGATAGGAAGAAACAAGAACCTTCTTCCGTGTGTACAGCTGTAGAATTTTTAAGCAGATTTCTTGAATTTCTTCCTCAGTCACTCCAAACAAAAGAAACCAATGGGGACGATTTGGCAACGGGATCTGTAAACATAAACACAGCCACTGCTGGGTATTTCTAAACAACCTCAAGGCTAGTAAGACTCGGCAATATAAGACAGCCTGCTGGTCGAGAAGTCTTGGCACAGAAGGGCATAACTTGGAGAACAGTACGCCAAAGTCTGCTGGCAGCTGGAGAAAACATCAGCCCAGACTGTCTCCCAGAGCCAACACTGACCTCCAGCGTCCGGGCAGCAAGGTAGATGCAAGCACAGGCGATGCTCTCGGGCTGGAACCGCACGAACACATCTGTGCGGAGGCTGTCGTTCATGTAGTTCCTGAAATCAAGTGCAGGAAAAACTGCAACACCCCCATCCAGGCCATGTGCACGATCTAGACTGAGTGCTACACCTCTAAGTGTCTATGACTAAGACTAGGGCCAGACATTCCTGTGACTCTCAAGACTGAATGAGAAACGTGCTAGCTGCTTTTGTTTGAATACAGGACAGAAAGGCAGAGAAATTATCGGGGGAAAAAAAAGCTGGCTGAATGTCAGACAATACGTGTTGCTATGAAAGAGAACCGACTTTAACTTGACTTTTCCCTCCTTTGGCCTGCTCTCATGCAAAGCGCAATGCCTCAGAAAGAAAATGTCTACTGCCGTGGTTAAAATGCATCTGATTAAGGAAAGCTAAATCTCAAAATCCATAGTGCAGAGAAACATGCAAACTCAAATAGATGGCTGAGCACGGCCGCGGGCTGTGGAGAAGCGGTCCTCTTCACGCCTTCACGCCTTCCCTTGAGCGCACGCCTGCACCTCCTCTGGACGGCTGAGCTGCAGTTTCCACGAAGAAGTCCACTCGGAAAAGGGAAAAACGCCCTTGGATGCCATCAGAGGCATGGCATGGCATGCAGAGGAAGGCTCAAGGCCAAGGAAGTCCTCTTCTCAGGCTTACCAAAGAACTGTTTCCAAACTGTCCCATTTCAACAAGGAGTCTTAAAATGAACATTCATAAAATCAGACAGAAGCGACAAATACTAAAAGTTTCATCACAATTAGTACATTCTTAAAACTTCATCACATTTAGAACATATAAAGGTACAAAATATACGTTTTTAAAAAGTTAAAACATTTAAAAACTGGCTACATCTTTAGCGTTTTCCTTTAGATATATTCCTCTTAAGATTTAATAGACTAAAGTCAGACCTTATACTAGCTTTATCAATATTGCAAAAACAAATGATTCATTCCATGAGAAGATAGGTCAACAGGTTATATATTTACTGCTCCTAAAATAATGGTGAGCCTTGAAGTCAGGCTGCACCCACAGCTGAGTGAAGTCATGCTGTGATTTGGCTGATCCCCACACCCACCATACCTTTGCCTTAAATAAACCCTGGGGAAGGTAACATACAAACCAACTCAGAGATTTCTAAATGATAAATTTGCCAGGTGCCTCCTGGGGCACCTTGCTCCAGGTGTAGAGCGGGAAGTATGCATGACAGCAGGGCAGCCAAGCACTCCGGGAGCAACTTGGAAAGTGAACAGCTCAAACACGATAAGCATAACCATTGGTAACTTTTTTGTTTCTAATAAAAAGTTTGTGGTATTCAAATAGTGATCATTTTAAACCATCAACTTTCCTAAAATCAAACAAGATCCTCAAAACATGTATAGATAAACTTACTGCTATATTTGAAATAAGTTACAATCTTTTAAAAAGTGTCCATGGAGTTTAAAGATGCACACCTTTTACAAGAATGTGTCAAGCTTAGCTGCTGAAAAGCAGCTTCAGGACTTCCAGAAATGACATAATCCCATGCTGACAGCCAATCTGCCACTTCAATTCTTACAATATCCCCAAAACATTTAAAGAGAGAAAGGTACTGCATCTTTATCGTACAAGTACAACAATTTTAAAGGTCAAGACAGTTATCAACTCTAATCAGTACAATTACCAAAGCACGACAGAGGATTAACAAGAAGCACAATCGTCAGAGAAACCACGAGCAGCAGTCGGCCGTGACTATACTATCGTGCGCATACCACCAGTCTAGAGCCAGCCTTCGGTGGAGAGCCTGCACTGGATTGGCTGAAGACGCCGCTGTCCCTGCACCAAAGCGCTTGGACAGCAGAGGAGAAGTCTTAGTCACTTACCCTCAGAGGCTACCCTTTGATTGAAAGAGTACAGAAAAGAAAAGTCAAAATAGGTTCTCTAGGAAGCACGTCATAGCACCAGACAATTCAGTCAGCAAAAATATGACCCCTATAGACTAAGCTCCATGGGAAAAACTCGCCTAAACACCCCAAACACTACACCCTACCTCCAGCTTCACTTCTAGCACATGCACTGCTCAAGTCAGTCCCAGGACTGCAGCACAGCCTCAGCCCCCTTCCTCCCCTGGGACGCACTTTGGGGGAGACGCAAGCCCACCAAGTATTCACAATGAAGCCCTGTTACTGCTGCCTCCCCAGGGCCAAGTCAACAGCCCCCAGAGGGACACCCACTGACGGCATTCCCCAAGGAAGCCCAGGGCTTGGGGAGGGGCGGGCCACCTACCGTTAAGCCAGTGCCTGACACTTTGGGAGTCTGATTGGAATCTATACAGCAGGAACACTGGGTGCTGGGACAAACTTCAGCCCACAGCCAAGTCATGGGACCAACCACCCACTGCCCACGTGCCTCAAGTCAACATAATCCTGCACTGCCCTTGCTGGTCTCGTATGACAAGGAAGGCCGACTTACCATGATGTCTGGACCAGGTGCTGGTCACGCTCACACTCTAACACCTGGAGGTACATAACGATTATCTGGAAGATATGGGTCACGCAGTTATTACTGGGAAGCCCAAGCGCGCAGCATTCAGACCTCATGGGCATCCACGCAGCAAGTAAGAGCCTCACGCTGGGTTCCAGGAGCAGCTCTGCTCACACAGCCAGCGGCCAGCTCTGCTGGAGGGAAGCTTTTGCTGATCGCCTGCCGCCTGCATGCAGCCAGGCGTGTGCACGAGTGCGCACGAGGCGCTGGAGTGTGCACCCCTGGCGCAGAGGCCTCATTCCTCACGGGCCGGCTTTTCATTCTGGTCTTCAACCTTTTTCACCGGGAGGCTGTCCTGTCCTAAACACCTCTGTGCCCAGGTACCACCTCACAAAATACTTTCAGCAAAGAAAGTACAGTTGGGTAACTTGCCAAGAATTTGAATAAATGCTAAATTCAAAGAAGCGAAAATACAAGGAAATCCACCAGCAAGAAGGGGATGCAACCAAAGGTGCACATGATCATCTTTTCTGTGCAGTGTTTGTTTAAGTATAACACAGAAAATACCCACAAAACTGCACGCTTAGAGTACGTGGTCAAGCTCCTTCACCAATGCATGCTACAACACTGCTTTACCTCCTTTCAAAAAAAAAAGGTTCAGCCGGGCACAGTGACTCATGCCCATCATTCCAGCACTTTGGGAGGGAGAGACAAGAGGATTGCCTGAGCCCACCAACCTGAGCAACTTGGCGAGACCTTGTCTCTACAATAAACCAAAAAATTAGCCAGGGGTAATAGCCTGCCCCTGTAGCCCCAACTACGTGGGAGGCTGCGGTGGCCATGAGCATGCCACTGCACTCCAGTCTGGGCAACAGAGTGAGATTCCAACTCAAGAAAAAATAAAATAAAATAAAAGAACAAAGTAAAAAGGTTCAAAAGTATCCCAACCCCCCCACAAGAAGAAACACGGCTATCACTAAAGCAACTTTAGAAAATTAGCTGTAAGCCAGGCTCGGTGGCTCAGCCTGTAATCCCGTGCCTTGGGAGGCTGAGGTGAGTGTATTGCTTGAGCCCGCAGGTTTGAGACCTGCCTGGACAACTTGGCGAGACCTCATCTCTATAATAAATCAAAAAATTAGGCGGGCGTGGTAGTGCGCGCCTGTAGTTCCAGCTACTTGGAAGGCTGAGGCGGAAGGATCACTGGAGCCCAGCAAGTCGAGGTTGTGGTGGCTGGGAGCAGCCACTGCACTCCAGTCTGGGTGACAGAGTGAGACTCCAACTCAAAAAAAAAAAAAAAAAAAAAGAAAATTAGCTGTAGCTGGGCATGGTGGTTCATGCCTATAATTCCAGCACTTTGGGGGAAAGCAAGACTGCCTGAACCCATGGGTTCAAGACCAGCGTGGGCAACTTGGAAAGACCTTGTCTCTACAATAAATCAAAAAATGAGCTGGACATGGTGGCATACACCTGTGGTTCCAGCTACTAGGAAGGCTGAGGCGGAAGGATCGCCTGGGCCCAGCAGGTCAAGGCTGCGGTGGTGTGCCAGTGTACTCCAGCCTGGGCGACAAAGTGAGACTCCAACCCAAAAAAAAAGAAGTTGGGCTCGGTGGCTCAGCCTGTAATTCCGCGCCTTGGGAGACTGAGGTGAGTGGATTGCCTGAGCCCGTGGGTTCAAGACCTGCCGGGGCAACTTAGCGAGACCTCATCTCTACAATAAATCAAAAATTAGACGGGCGTGGTAGCGCACATCTGTAGTTCTGGCTACTTGGAAGGCTGAGGCGAAAGGATCGCCGGAGCCCAGCAGGTTGAGGCTGCGGTGGCCGGGAGTGGCCACTGCACTCCAGTCTGTGCGACAGAGTGAGACAACTCAAAAAAAAAAAAAAAGGAAAAAAAGAAATGCTACTCAAATCAGCAGATATTACCAGAAGACTGAGTTGAGAATTATACTAGGATTACAGATATAAACTGGAAAAACAAGCCAGGGACTCATTCAGGCCTCCCCAGAGCCCTCAGCCACACTGAGGCAGAGGCAGGGGCTAGAGGAGGGACTTGGTGACTCACAGGGCAGCCGGCCTCACACCCACCTTGTGAGGATGCTTCACATGAACGCAGAAACCCAGCTCTTTGAGAACACGTCTTTCCGCCTTTATGATTTGGTTCTTTAAGTTAACGTAATCTTGGTCCAGTACTAGAGGCACAGGTTTCCTGCAAAAAGACAAGGCACGCGGTTGGGACATGGTCAAACAAACAAGGTCTTCCACCCCCCATAATTACCCCCAAATGGTAAGACTCTTGACATCAACACCACCATGTAGATGTCACTATTATGGCCACGTACTTTAGCAAAACCACAAAACCTCTTCGTCTCCAATGCAAACCCACTTATTCCTTCCCCATCTTCTACCATTTCCTCACAGATAAACAAACCCTCCGGTGCCCAATCACAGACTGAACATACCAAGGGTCTGCACAAGTGCTAAATGCACTTTGGCTCAAAACTCAAGGACACAGGTTTGAAGTTGAACAGACCACCAGAGCAACAATGCAAGCACAATATTTTAAAACAGATGAAGCTGTGTTTCCCAAGAACTTTCATGAACTCCAGGAGCAGGAAGTCTGGGCCATGGCCGAGGGCAGTGGTTCTCAACAGGGACAATTCTGTTAACCCAGGGCCCTGAGGCGATGTCCAGACACTTCTGGCTGTCTCACTGAGGAGGGGTAGCTCCAGCATCCAGGGAGAGAAACCAGGAATGCTGCTAAGGACAAGCTCCTACCGAGAATCACACAACCTGGAATGTTAGCAGCGCTCAGACACTCTTAGACAAGAAACCAGAGGGCTGCTGCCTGTGGGCACACCTGGGAGGCAACACCAGCAGAACATGGCTACAGCAGGGGCACCAGCCTGTCCCCCAGGAAGCAGCATCTGCGGGATACCCTGAGCAAGCCCTGTCCCGAGAACTCCATACATGAATGAACACCCCACCAACTTAAAACCTTACGCACTGACTTTTGCTACAGAGATGACCGTGCCATGTAATAACCACACAAAACGAGAAGGACGCTGAAGACAGCTCTCGTAAAGACTCACTTTTTCTCTCTCAGCTGCCGAAGTCGATGAAACACATTCATGACGTCCCGGATGCGTCTTGGAGCCTCTTCTATTTTGGAAGCCAAGTGAACGCAGGCCATCGACACGTGCTGAAACGAAGCATCGACACGCGGACGCGGCTCCCACCCGTCCGATGCGGACAAGCCATCCCGATGGCACCCGGAGGGGGAGGAGAGGGGCCGCGGGAGCCGCCAGCACGGTTCGGCCTGGGGACCGGCACGCACCGCTCTGGGAACCGACGGGGGAAGCCTCACCTCCATGGAGTGCTTCACGAAGGACTTGGTGTAGAAGAACCGCTGGAACAGCACCTGGCCGGTAGCCATGGCCACCTGGAGTAAAGGGAATCCCCACCCGTGTAAGCGCACGTGCGGGGCCTTCGACCGAGTCGCCGGGTTGCTGGCTCCCCACGCAGACCAGACACGACGCAGCCCGGGCCTGCCCGCCGGGCGGGTCGACGCGAAGGCCGGGGCGGGGTCCCGGTTGGGTCAGGTCGCGCGGGACGGGCCCGCCGCCGCCCGGCGGTTGCCCGGGCCCGAGGCAAGCGGCCGCGCCCTCACTTGCGGCAGGCGGAGCAGGATGCCGGCCGCCTGGATGAGCTCGCAGCCCACCACGCGGAGGTCGGTCTCCGTGTCGGTGTCCAGGCCGCTCGACATGGACGGCGTGAAGCGGAGCTTGTCGTCGGGCAGAAGGCAGTTCTCCAGAGTAATGAGCACCCCGGAGTACAGCCTGTCCCCGATCAGCACACCCTGCGAGCCCAGGGGCGCGCCCGCCGAGCTCGGGGCGCTGGCGGCTGCCGCAGGGACCGCCGACCCCGGAATCCCGGCCGCCGCCGCCGTCGTCGCCGCCATTTTGTGCCGCCGACTCCCCTTCGGCTCCTTCCCGCAGGGCGTTTCCTCGCGACGCGCCACCACCGCGACCGCCCGCCCCGCCACGTGCCATTGGCTTGGTCTGCGAGCGCTGCGACGCTGCCTTGCCGCAATTGGCTATGCAACCTGCCCTTCAGTGACGTGGCCGACGCCGGCGCCGGAAGCCGGCGCGGGAGGAGCGGGCTCGTTACCCAGGGGGCTCTGCGGCCGCGGCCCGACCCGGAAGTGCGTCTGCCGGGCGCGAGGGCAGGTCGGGGAGGGTTTGTCTGGGCGCCCCGAGTAGGGCCGGGTTCCTCGACAACGCCCACGTTGGCCCAGAAACCCCGGATCGCACGATCTCGCGTTTCGGAAGTACCGAGGGCTGAAGGTCCCCCCCAGCTGTTCCCCGGGCGCGGTAGGGAACCGGAGGGTGGCGCGCCAGCCCGGTGAGTGTCCCGGCCGCGGGCGGTGTCATCGCTCCAGGCCTCACCTGGTTGGCTTTGGGAGCGTGTCAGCTCGGACTCCTGCAATATCCTGTTTCCGAAATTCAATCCCGAGGAGACAGGGCCGGGGTAACTGGAAACTGGGCGCGACGTTCCCGCGGAGCCTCCCACAGGTGGGGCCCCGGACAGGTGGGGCCAGCGGCGGGGTCGGGGGCTGAACGTCCGACTTCACTGACCTCGGCCCATGTGGTCCCACTCCCTGCCCGCTACCCAGAGCAGCGCTGCTGTCTCCGCTGAGCAGGACGGGGAGACACAGTGATCACTTGCTGCGGTTACCCCAGAGCTCAGCCAAGGCTATTTATTACAGGGACACACCGTGAAGGCGGTGGGGGAGGCCTGGGCGAGGGGGCAGGTTGGGGACGGCAGACGAGGCTGGGCGGGGAAGGAGGTTGGAGACCTGGGTGGGATGGGGGCCGGTTCAATCGCTGAGCTGCCCGTGACCACCAAACTCAAACCCAGAGGCCGCCGCTGGACCCCGGGCCAGCTGTGGGGCCAGCGGCTCTGGCATGAGCCTATCCCCCAGCCCAAACGGTATCAACCAAGACCCAATCTCACCTCTTGGCCTGCCCGGGGCGGTGGGCGTGGCTACAGTTCGGGTATCCTCTTTTCCTAGGCTGGCAGCTGCACTGTCCAGCAGAGAGGAATTTTCTCTGGAAGCTCCCCCCACCTGGTTTCTTACTGGCCCTGCCTCTAGCCAGGCGGGGCCAGGCCTTGGAGCTGGGGACAGGGGATACGAAGGGAGTGGGTGGTTGAAGCAGTCCACAGTGGTCTGTCACGTGACCTTTTTATGGAGATGCAATGCAGAAAAAAGCTGGGCTCGGTGGCTCAGCCTGTAATCCTGCACTTTGGGAGGCTGAGGTGAGTGGATTGCCTGAGCCCGCAGGTTCGTGACCTGCCTGGGCAACTTGGCGAGACCTCATCTCTACAATAAATCAAAAAAATCAGCCGGGCGTGGTAGCGCATGCCTGTAATTCCGGCTACTTGAAAGGCTGAGGCTGAAGGCTTGCCAGAGCCCAACAGGTCGAGGCTGCGGTGGCTGGGAGCGGCCACTGCACTCCAGTCTGGGCGACAGAGAGACTCCAACCCAAAAAAAAATGCAGAAAAAGCAGCTTTGCCATAGCAACAGGGCCAGGGTCAGCAAGACTCGCTGGTCTGGGGCTTGAGGGTGCCTTGCCTTATCCACTGAGGCTGCATTAGGTAGTGGCTGGTGAAAGCCCTGAAGAGCCTTCCAGGGTTAGGGTACAGGGTGTGTGATGCTTGGGATCCGGGCTGAGCATCTGTTGTGTTTTGGTTCCTGGAACAGCAATGGTTGAGAGCTGCTAGGGAATAGCAGGATCAACTGTGGACCCAGTGGTGGGAGCACTGGGGGCACCACACAGTCGGGAGGCACAGGGTCAGTGAGGCTGCAGAGAAGGCGTGAACTTGTGAATATATTCCTGGGCTCAAGTTGAGTGCTCAAACCCCTCTCCAGGTGGTCCCACCACCCTCAGTTTGAGATCCCTCTTGAGAAAAGTCCTGCTGGGCTAGCGAGGGTAGAGGGAGGCAGCAAGGAAGCTTGAGGCTGGCATTCAAAGTGGTGGTGGTGCCAGGCTCGGTGGCTCAGCCTATAATCCCATGCACTTTGGGAGGCTGAGGCAAGTGGTTTGCCTGAGCCTGCAGGTTCGCGATCTGCCTGGGCACTTGGCAAGACCTCATCTCTACAACAAATCAAAAAATTAGGCCATGCTCGATGGCTCAGCCTGTAATTCCAGCACTTTGGGAGGCCGAGGTGAGTGGATTGCCTGAGTCCAGGATTTGAGACCTGCCTGGGCAACTTGGCGAGACCTCATCTCCACTATAAATCAAAAATAGCCGGGCATGGTAGCGCGCACCTGTAGTTCCAGCTACTTGGAAGGCTGAGGCGGAAGGATCGCCGGAGCTCAGCAGGTCGAGGCTGCGGTGGCCGGGAGCGGCCACTGCACTCCAGTTTGGGTGACAGAGTGAGACTCCAACTCAAAAAAAAAACAAACTAGCCAGGCGTGGTAGCACCCGCCTATAGTTCCAGCTACTTGGAAGACTGAAGCGGAAGGATCACCAGAGCCAAGCGGGTCGAGGGTGTGGTGGCCGGGAATGTGCCACTGCACTCCAGTCTAGGCGACAGAGTGAGACTCCAATTCAAAAAAAACCAAAAAAACAAAGTGGTGGTGGGAGAGCTGAAGCCTGGGGAGACTAGGCAGAGGGCAGGGTGAGCCCTAGGCGGGATGAGGATTGGGACTGGGGACAAGAGGCAGATCAGGGAGCTGGGCAGACAGGTGCTGGATGCGCTACCCCTTACAGCCCTCCCCCCCAACATGCAGAAGTTAGTGGTCTGCTTCCCACAACCAGGGATCCCTTGCCCACCAGGCCACACCCACTGCCACCAGCACCGGGTGGCAGGGTGTAGCCCAAAGTCTGTTTGCTTGATGCCAGAAGACAACTCACAAAGCAGAACACTGGCTTTATTTGCATGCTACATATGAGAGAAGACAGGGCCTTCTCTCATGCCTGTTACTGTAATGCCAATAAACACAATTATGAAGCAGACTTACACCCTGCTGCCCAAGCAGCTACTTTGCGCCTGCTTCAGCTATGATCTTGGGGGCAAAGCCTCTTCCAGGCCTGCAGGGCCACAGTCCTAGTGGTACTGCACCACCCTGGAAAAGATGCCTTCGGGCTCTTTTCCATCCCCCAAGGCTGCAGCAAATCCCTCCTGTCGCCTCCTGGTGGCCAGAGCAGCCAAGGATTTAAAAGTCTTTGGTTCGTAGATGGCCAGATCTGCAAGGACTTTCCTGTTGAGCTCCACCTGGCACTGGGGAGAGAATCAGAGCCTGGGTGAGCGTGAGAAGCACATTACAGGGACGCCATCCAATCAGTTAGGAAGAATGAGCGGGAGTCCCCCTCAGCACGCTCTGAGCTCCAGGGCAAGTCTTGGCCTCCTGGAGGCCAATAAGTGGTGTGGGTAAGCAGGAGGACAAGGGAGGACAGGGATAAGGGAGGCACCAGGGGAATCTGGTCTGGGAGAGGAGACTGGAGTCCAGTCCTGGTGCAGGCATGAAACCAAGGGCCTTGTTTAGGGTCAGTGGTCACCATGCGGATGGAACTAAGAGCACTGATGACTAACGCCAGAGCCTAAGGAGCAGAAAGGGCGGTCTCCAAACATTAAATGCAGCGGTTAAGAACAAGCTGGAGGGCCGGGTGCAGTGGCTCATGCCTATAATCCCAGCTTTGGGAGGTCCAGGCAAGAGGACTGCTTGAGCCCAGGGGCTCAAGACCTTGTTTCTACAATACATCAAGAAAAATTAGCTGGTCATGATGGCGTGCAGGAAGGCTGAGGTGGAAGGATGGCCGGAGCCCAGCAGGTCAAGGCTGCAGTGGCCATTGAGTGTGCCACTGAACTCCAGCCTGGGCAACAGAGAAAGACTTGAAAAAACTAGCGGGCCACAGGCATCTGTGTGCCTCGGGCAGCCTGTCTCCTTCTAAGCCTCAGTGTCCATCAGCACCACCTATGCTTACCCTGAGCATCTCTATAAAGCACCAAAGGTGGCCTGCTGCAAGGTAGGAGCAAATGTCCACCCCCTTAAGAAAAAACACAAGTGGACTGGGATCGGTGGTTCAGCCTGTAATCCCAGCACTTTGGCAGGCCCAGGCGAGTGGACTGCCTGAGCCTATGGGTTCGAGACCCATCCGGGCAACTTGGTGAGACCTCATGTCTACAATAAATAAAAAACTAGCCGGGCTTGGTAGTGTGCACTTGTAGTTCTGGCTACTTGGAAGGCTGAAGTGGAAGGATCCCTGGGGCCCAACAGGTTGAGGCTATGGTTGCTGGGAGCGTGCCACTGCACTCCAGACTGGGCGACACAGTGAGACTTCAATTCAAAAAAAAAAGGCGGGCTCGGTGACTCAGCCTATAATCCCGCACCTTTGGGAGGCTGAAGTGAGTGGACTGCCTGAGCCCGTGGGTTCAAGACCTGCCTGGGCAACGTGGCGAGACCTCATCTCCACAGTAAACTAAAAAAAAATTAGCTGGGTGCGGTAGCACGCGCCTATAGTTCCAGCTACTTGAAAGGCTGAGACGGAAGGATTGCCGGAGCCCAGCAGGTCTAGGCTGGGGTGGCTGGGAGCAGCCACTGCATTCTAGTCTGGGCGACAGAGTGAGAATCCAACTCAAAAAAAAAAGAAAAAAAACACAAGTGACACAAAGGCACCACCACCGGCTCCAACAGCTACCAAGACTGCAACCCTTGCTTCAACTATCCCCTCCCTCCAGAACTCTACCTTTCATTTGTGATGGTGAAAGTGTCGTCAGAAATCAGTCACTGGGCCAGGCTCGGTGGCTCAGCCTGTAGTCCCAGCACTTTGGGAGGCCAAGGTGAGTGGACTGCCCGAGCCTGCAGGTTCAAGACCAGCCCAGGGAACTTGGCGAGACCTGGTCTCTACAATAAATCAAAAATTAGCCAGGCATGGTGGTGCGTGCCTGTAGTTCCAGCTACTTGGAAGGCTGAGGCAGAAGGATCGCTGGAGCCCAGCAAGTCGACACTGGAGTGGCTATGAGTGTGCCACGGCACTCCAGCCAGGGCGACAGAGTGAGACTCCAACTTAAAAAAAAAAGAGAAATCAGTCACTACTAGAACTCTAAACTCTGAAGTTAAAGCTGAGCTTTTCTCCTTTATGGGGAAGCATCAAGACTTGTGTCCCTGAAGCACATAGCCAATTCTGCCCTGCTGCCAGCAAGTGTGGCAAGTCCACCTGTGCCACTCCCCCAGAGACACGAAGCAGTGTCAGGGTGCAGCCTGCAGCTCCCCTTCCTGTGCTGCATGGGTCACTGCAGACTGGACGGTGCCTGATGGGATGGTTTATATTTTTCAAAGAGATAGGGGCCCCCGATGTTGCCTAGGCTATTGCGTGGCCCTAGTCACAGGCCAAACCCCATCACTGATCACAGATGTCCAGCGTCTCAGCAGGGCCCACATATTCAGCCACACCTTAATTAAATTGGCGATGAATGCTGGGTACTTCAGGCCGTGTTCCTGGGAAGCAGCTGTAATCCGATTGATCCAGAGCTGAAATAAGAAAATGTGGAGATGTGAGGCTAGGCGCGGTGGCTTACACCTAAAATCCCAGCACTTTGGGAGGCCAGAGTGAGAGGATTGCCTGAGCCCATGCATTTGAGACCAGCCCAGGCAACTTGGTGAGACCTCTTCTCTACAATAAATCCAAACATTAGTGGCCTCCCAAAGTGCTGGGACTACAGGCTGAGCCACCAAACCTGGCCAGTTCCAGCTACTTGGAAGGCTGAGGCAGAAGGATTGCCTGAGCCCAACAAGTCGAGGCTGCAGTGACTGTGAGCATGCCCCTGCACTCCAGCCTGGGCAACGGAAACTCCAACTCAAAAAAACAAAAGAAAACGAGCCGGGCTTGGTGGCTCAGCCTGTAATCCCACGCCTTTGGGAGGCTGAGGTGAGTGGATTGCCTGAACCCGCGGGTTCGAGACCAGCCTAGGCAGGCGAGACCTCATCTCTACAATAAAATCAAAAAATTAGCCAGGCATGGTAGCACGCGCCTATAATTCCAGCTACTCAGAAGGCTGAGGTGGAAGGATCGCCGGAGCCCAGCAGGTCAAGGCTGCAGTGGCCAAGAGCGGCCACTGCACTCCAGTCTGGGCGACAGAGTAAGACTCCAACTCAATAAAAAAAAAAAAAGAAAACGTGGAGATGCACAAAAATGACCTGTATGTTAAGCCCAGATCTCCTAGCAGGTGCTCTGACTGAATTAGAGGGTATTTTTGTAAAAGTAGAAAAGTTTGTTTTCTATTCGGGCAAACAGAATTAACAGTAAGCAAAAGACAGGCTTTCCACCAAACATGAATTTCATTGCTGAATGATGAGCTGGAATTCACAGGCTGGAAAGCATTAATTCACTACACACCTGGGCACCTAAACTACACAGATGAGCAAGAGACTCCGTGGCAGGCACAGGCCAGACTGAGTCCAGCAAAGGATTAGCGTGGGTGAAATCACAGCCACTGAGGTGGCCACGAAGAGGGGAGGAGACAAATGCCAGAGGTGGGCAGTCTTGAAGAGCAGAGTGATGGGTCTGGAGGGAGAAGTGTGGTCAGAGGTCTGGCTGGCAAGGAGCAGCCAACACCTATGCCCAGTATGGCGGCAGTGAGGCCAGTGGGTGCCCACGGAAAGCGCTGCAAGGACAAGTCATGAGGCTTGGCCAGTCATGGTACCATGGTGGACCCTGCAGCATAGTGACTGCTGTGTGTCCTGTGTTCTGGTCTGTTAAGGAGGAGTACTGGGGACTTCCCCAAGCCATTCCTTACTCGTGTGTCTTAAAATGGCATCCAGGCCAGGCTCTGTGACTCAGCATGTAATCCCAGCACTTTGGGAGGCTGAGGCCAGCGGATTGCCTGAGCCCGCAGGTTCGAGACCAGCCCAGGGAACCTTGGTGAGACGTCTCTACAATAAATCAAAAATTAGCTGGGCGTGGTAGCAAGCGCCTGTAGTTCCAGCTACTTGGAAGGCTGAGGCGGAAGGATCACCTGAGCCCAGCAGGTCGAGGCTGTGGTGGCCGTCCGTGAGTGTGCCACTGCACACTGGGCGACAGTGAGACTCTGACTCAAAAAATAAAATAAAATAGAATGGCATCCAGGCCCATGTTCTTCCTCTGTGGTAATGGTGTCAGATCTGAACCTGCATCAGAACTCCTCCCAGGTCTGCCAAACAGACTGCTGGGCCCCCGACCTGAACTTCTGATTCCAACAGATCCCAAGGTGAGGACCTCTGCCCTCTGTACACCAGACACCGTACACATCACTACACACACATTCGGTCAGACTGCTGACCTCTGTGGGGTCCTGGGCAGCAGGACCACCTCTCTACCGTTCTGAGTCAAAACGCGCTGCCCTGAACCCGTCGGGACTGACAGGAACAGGGACCCTCAACTCGGGCTATTGGGACCTTTCTGGCCTGAGTGAGACTCCCACCTAACTGGGCCTCTCAACTCGCGCAGCCGGTATCAGAGCGTGACTGGCCTGGGCTGTAGGTCACAGTACTCGAGGGAGCACAAAGTATTTCTGAGGCTTTCGTCCTCGACTGGGCGATAAACAACCTCTCAAGTCGGACTCCCGCGAGTGAGGTGCTGAGTGGGGGGGAGGGGCTTCCAATAGTCCTGCAGGGGGTGGGGGCGGCAAGGGGCCAGGCCTCCCCGGCCGCGTGGAAGCCACCCGAGGGAGCCGCGACAGCAGAGGCTGGGGCCCGGGCGCGCGCAAGGCTGGGATGAGGAGGCGATCGCGGTGGCCTGGAGCAGGGGTGGCGGTGGGCGGGTGCGTGCGTCCTTGCCCAAGTCTGCGGGGTCTAGAAGCGGCGAGGCGGCCTCGCTGGAATGGGGTCCCGCCCGGCCTCCTTACCGTCCGCATGTTCCTCTTCTTCAGCCTCCGGGCTTTGGTGCATTTCACGAAGGCCCGGGTCACGGCTCTCACGGCCAGCCGGTAGCAGCGGTTCTTCCTCCCCCGGAAGTGCTGGGCCAGAAAGCGGGAGCGAGGGTCGGCGGGTGCCCTGAGCCCCGCGCAGCCCCGCCAGGCGCCCTAGCCCCGCGCGACCCCCGACCCTCACGACTCACCCGCGCGTGCTTCAGCACCTCCTGGACCCGCCAGTAGCGGTCGGTGACGCGGTTCCGCAGCCAGAGCTGCGCGGTGAGGAAAACCATCTCGCCCGGGTCCGGCCCTCCACTGCGCAAGCGCCGCGCCCCGCCGCCGTCCGGCCGCCGGGTGTGGAGGCGCGGCGGTGGGGGCGAGGACTTCCGGGTCAGCGGCGGCCAGGACTTCCGGAGCGCC